GGTACCAAAAAAAAAGTTTTTTGAAAATATATTACAAAGAAAATCTAGAAAATACTGAATATACAGAAGAAAAATAAAATCAATAGATCCATAATTTCATCATTCAGAAAAAACTGTTAACTGTTATGATGCAGTTTCTTCTATTGTTTCATCTCCTCTGTATTTAAAAACAAAACAGTACAATTCGATAAAATTGAGATCTCTATTTCTATATCCTTTTTCCTTCACAGTATATTTTCTCATCTCATTAAAGTAATAAAAAACTTTATAATGATTATACAAAATTCCTTAAATTGTTTTTGCTATGCTTTATATTCTCATATCATTAGACATTTAGTTGCTGATATATTTTTTTTTTGGTACCAGGGATTGAACTCAGGTCCTTCCACTTGCAAGGCAGGCGGCGGAACCACTGAACTAAATCCCTGGCCCCATCATTAGACATTTAGGTTTACAACCAACCAGCACATAAATCTTCACACTATTTCTAATTATTTCCTTGGAAGAAAAAGTTAGACACAAGATTACTGGGTCATCTTTATATCTGATGGCTCTTTATACAGACGACCAGACTGCCATCCACAAAGACATACTTTATCCTTGCATGAGTCTAGCAGTGTATAATGCCGACTTCATCAAACACCACCCCCTCCACCCACCAAAAATGGACACTGGTTTTTGTAAATTTTTGCTAATGTCCAGGAAAAACGCTTCTTTAAATTTGCGTTTATTTATCACTACTACTGAACATTTTCATGCATCTATTATCATTTTCCTCTTCTATAAATAATGCATTTATATCAGTTGTCCACTTTTAAAAATGTTTTGTTGAAGTATAACATACAAACAGAAAAGCACACACATCTTTACCGCAAAGCTTAAAGATTTTCCATAAACTGAATAGTCACACACCCAGAACAAAAGACAGAACATTAGCAGCATTCCTAAAGTTCCTCTTGTGTTCTCTGCTCATACTAATTCTCCTAAGATTAATCATTATTCTGACGTGTAATACCATAAATTAATTTTGCCTATTTTGGTACTTTTGCCTAATATTCATAGTAACAATTCACTGTTTTAAAACTGATATTTATTATGAAACATTTAAACATTATAGAAAAGTGCAGAAAAAGAAATCAACAAGTGCTCCAAAAATCATGCTACCTGAAAGAACTGTTAACCACTGTGAACATGACAAATCTGTAAGCATGGACAGATATACAGAGAAACAAATTATCTTGTCAAACGGGATTATGGCAGTGTTTTAACTGAAGAAAAATAATTAAAATTAAGAAGATAAAAACCTTCCAAAACTTCAAATAAATGTTCTTTGAATAAATGTAAACCATTAAAAGGTTTGAGATTAAAAACAAAAAGTTGTTTCAGCTTTGCATACTACTGATCGATTTCTTACTATGAAAAAGATGGAACAACAGGCAGTCCCTCATTGTTTCCTCTCCGCACCATCTAGTTTTGGTTTCTTCTATTTTTTTAATCATTTATACTCAATCTGAAGCTACTAATTCTGTTATTTTGTAACTATTCATTGGTTTTAACATTAAGTGGTATCCTCACTCCTTTTAAAGTAGGGCTCCACAGTTACTTTCATGTTTGAGCGTAAGCAGCCTTTAACAGTACAAAGACAACACAAGTTTCTTGAGTCATATTTTATCTCATTTATAAAGTCATAATAACAATAAAAAAAATAGAAACTCCATGTATGTTAACTCTTTTTGAATATTAACAACAACTCTACGAGGTATGAGTCATTATTATCTTTATTTCACAGATGGAGAAAAAAAAGCTTCAGCCATGAAAGGTAAATTGACTGCCTCAGACCCTCAAAATGTAAGTGGCAGAGCTCTGATTGAACATTCTGCCCCCAAGGGCAGGGCTGTGCTGCACTGCTTGGAGCGTCTGCAGCTGGAACCCATTGAGGAAGGAACAGTAAAGGAGGCCTCAGTTTTAAAGACTGAGGGCCTGCAGTGCCTGACGGCCTGCAGTGAACAAAGGAGAACATACACTGCTACATATGGTACCATATCCCTTACAGAAGTTCTGTTTCAATTCTGGATATTACTGACTGATTTTCTACTACAAAAGAAAAAAAAGGAAATCAATAACATTCAAATGTCTCACTGGACGTTAACAATATAAAATTCGTTTAAAATTACTTACTCTTAGGACATTTTACATATAAGTACAAAACATTTTGGGTAAGGTTTTAATATGCTCAATTAAAAAAAATCCAGAAAAATTGCTTAATGTTTGGATATTTATGTCATACCACAACCCATAATATTTGAGGTCCCAATGCAATAACCTATACCAGTCTGGATTTAGAGCTCCCACATTTATAAATTTTACATATGAGTGCCAGCATCATTTAATTACTTCATTATACCTTGCAGTGTAGGCATGGCCAAACATTTATAGATCATGGTAAATATTATCTTACTATAAATTATTTTGTTTTTTTTCCTTTCTACTCAACTATGGCAACATGTTGACTTTAAAGTTATGGATGTACTCTATCATTTATAAATTTCATTCTAGGATCTGAAAAAGTTCCTGTATTTTTTGAGATCCCCTAACATTATATGCAAGTTGTAATTCTTGAGTTTCTCTTTAATTCTTTTCTTCTCAATCTTTAGTCCACTTCTTTCCACGTTCACATAAATAATGAGAAAATTTAAAATTTAGTTGATTTTTCTTTTAATACTGTTTTGAAGGCTGGAGGTGAGATTGGGGCCTTGCTACTTCACACTGCAATATTCAGTCTATTTCCATACATCTAACTTTTCAAAGTTCTACCTTTTTCTTTAAAGTTTATTCCTTTTCTCGTTTGGTTGTGGCACCTCTCTTTGGCGCTCTTTGTTTTGGGGTGCATTAGCTTTTGGAGGGGAGCGCTGGGAGTCTATTTCATTTAGCTGCAACACTTGACAGTTCTTCAACCATCTTTGAGTAGAGTGCTTTTCTTTCCTTTGAAGAGATCATCCCGATTCATATTTTCCTTAGTATAAAAGGGCAAATCTTTCAATTACTTTGCTATAAATGAAAACTTACAAGCTTTTCTGATCTCAACTGCATTTTTCTTACAGCTAACAAAGTGTAAAAGTGTACCTAGGGTCCATTATCACATATCATATCACATTCAAAAATATTACTTAATATTTATCAAGTGTCAACAATGTGCCAGTCACTGTTCTCAGAGGTTTACATATTATTAGCTCATTAATCTCATAACAATCTCATAAGGTAGATATTATGCTCACAGATAACTGAAGTTCATAAATGCTGCTACTTACCAATCTGCCCAAGGTCAAATAGCCAGCAAGAGGCAAAGCCCCAATTTGCACCCTGGCCATTTGATACCAAAGCACAAGTAGTCATTTATCCTTCCTGCCAACCAAGTTTTTAGTGGTTTCCTGTTCCAATCAAGGAACTAACTACTTCATTATAGGTTTTCTGATTACTACTTTTCTCTTTAGAGTCTAACATAAATGCTCAATAAATATTTATTACTTCTATAAATGTAAGACTTAACTGTTTGTTTCCAACGCTTCTCCATCTCTTTTAATGTGATTTGTTCTAGAAATAAGAAGGGCAAACTAAAACTCCAAACACCATTCTCACTTCTAGGAGCCTAGATGAAACCTTTCTGCACTTACAACATGACAGCTTAGTGTTCACCTATACATCCTCAGAGACCTGACCAGAAGCGAGCAGGAATGCACACCGCTCTTTCCAATATTTGACTGTATGGCTCTGGTGTATCAATCTGCTTTGAAGGAGAAAAATTTTTAATAACATACAAGACTTAGTACTCTTCTTCCTCCCGTTTGTGGCAGGAGTTCTATGCTTCCTAGAAGCTAAGATCATCAGTTATGTAGTGTGTCAGCCCTGAGAAACACCTGCTGTTCCAGATTTACTCAAAGTATTGTGCCCATGAAAGTTCACCAACCACCTTCTATTTTCTTAGCTTATAGATTTCTGGCAATAAACTTAATAGAAGGTCAAGCACGTCCACAGATCGTACTAGGAATCCTAGGCAGTACACTTGATTTAAAGTGAAAAAGTATTGAGTGCAACATGCTAACACAAAAAAAGTCATTGCAGTTTTACATACTATGACAGGTTGATGGGTTTTACATTATTTGGTTATAAGCAGGACCTTCAACTGTACTTCCAGTCTCACCCTATAAACATAAAAGGATTTTTTAAAAAAGATATCAACGCATGCAAATAAATGTATGAAAAGAACACAAAGAGAAATATAATCTTGGGCATTTTAAAATGAAAACAGTTGTGAATTTTTAGTAGCTCATGGTAAAAAAAAAACAAAAAGCAATGAGGTAGTAATAAAATGATTATGGGAATGAAAGTTGGTTAATATAGACTATGGGGTCGGGGAGCAAGCATTGATTGGTGTTAGGGTTTGAAACAGGGCCATGAACTCTTCCACTCAATGAAACCCCTGTCCCCTAAACAACAATTATTTATTGCAGAACTCAGGGATAGTTATGAGCCCATAATGACATTTTCAGCTATGACAGACCACATACATGATGACAGTCCCCTGAGACTACACTGCACATAGACAGCACTGCAGTCCTATTTGTGTAAGTATGCTCTATGATGCTTGCACAATGACAGAATCACCCAATGATGCATTTACATATCTTTGTTAAGGGACACAACTACATAAACTACCTCAATGTGGAAAGAATTCTTATATATTACAGATTTGTAACAGTGCCAGAGAAGAATGTATATATAATTAAATGTGGTTAACAAGCAGAAGTAAATTGAGAAGATAATGATTTGGGTAGAGTAAATTTAAAAACCATTTACAAAATTAAAAGGCCTTTTGTGAATTGGACTTGTAAGAGGAAGAACTATTCAAGACTAAGAATCCACTTCAATTATTTGCATTTAAATAAAAAAGATGCAGTGGCATCATACAAAAACTGAGCTGGTGTATTTTAAAAATAACTTACGCTGATGACAGATGAGGAAGTTGACAAGTTTAAACCTTCAAGATCAGCTATCAAGCTCGGAGAAAGTACTGGTGTGGGAAGTGCAACTGGAGTGGATATAGGGTTAACTGTAAGAAAAGGCTCAAATTAGTAAATGTGCATGAAAATTTAATTCAAATTATTGAAAGCAACATTTTTATTGTTAGTAAATTTAATTAAATTACTTTGATTAATAAATGTATGACAATTCTATTTAACATCCTGATTTAGTCAAGTTATTATCAAGCCATGGCAGTTATTAGTCTTAGCTTTCAAAACCTAATAGCAAATCCTATAACAAAATAGGGATATAAATATCTTGAGTAATAGTTTTTGAAAATTTTTATCACATAACATTATCACTAACATTTATCACCCAGTTAATTTCACTAACAGAAAAAGGTGAAGAAACATTTTTCCACACTAATATAAAGAATCACAATAGCTTTCAAGAGAGTTCTCCAGTTGAGTCAGAGGTTTTAAAAAACATGTTTAAATCATTTCTCTATTTTATTCTCCATTCTAACTAATTAGTGGCCCAAGATAAATAATTCCCTTCTAATTACACTTTGCCAGCAAAGCTATGTACTGACAAAAATGTTTTAGTTTTAAAACTACCAAGTACTTGGAAGCAGGTAACTCAAGTCTGAAAATCTTTTAAAAATGAAAATGAGATCATGTCATTCCCTTAAGACTCTTCACAGCTCACAGCTCTTGTAAGATCAAAGCCCGGCTCTTTAACTAATGCACAAGGTTCTCCATGATCCAGCTCAGCCATGTGCTGCAGAATGACCTAGGACAAGAGAAATGTTCTGAATCTGTGCTTTTTAATATGGTGGCCACATATGCCTAATGCACTCTCTGAATAGAACCAGGATGACTAAACACATACATTTTTAATTTTAATTCATTTAAATAGCTACGTGTGGTTAGTGGCCACCATACCAGACATCTCAGGCCCAGCTTATCTCCAATTTCATTAGCTTCTCTACGTCTAAGGAATACATGTTCCCAAGATTTTGCTCCATGTCTTTGAGCCATTTGTAGTCTACTCCATTCCCTAGAAGGTATACTTCTCGGCTTCATTCATCTACAACTGCTACCCCAGGAACACTTGAGGGAAAGCCCCTCCTGATTCACATAATACAGGTTATATATCCTTCTTTGTTCCACAAGTTTATTTAGACAAGTTTCCTCAACTACTCAGATTATACAGATTTGTGTCTTTGTATGTTTTTATTTCTCCTAGGCTGTGTGTACAGACTTTAACTTACTAACTTTAATACATTCAATTGTTTGTTGAATGAAACAAAATGTGGAAAAAATTTTAGCTCCCAAGAAATTCTCACTCCAAAACAACACTGTAAAGAAAATAATATTTACTTAATTAGATATAATTTTTCAAAGCATCTTTTTCTAATTTTAGTTTCACAGTGTCCTGTAAATTAGGCAGAAGAAATACTAATTCATGAAGTTAATACACTTGGCAAGACAGGAAGGGGAGACAAGTTTAAGATATGGTCCCTGTCTTTAAGAAACTTCAAACTTAATTAAGAAAAAGAGAATATGCATGCTTTAAAAATCAAAGTAACAATACAGTCTATAAATGATAGTGCCAACAAAAGAAAACTTTCAAAAGGACTCTCAAACAAAATTTATATATAATAGGAAAAGCAGGCAGAGGAAGGAGTGACATATGGAGCCCTTGGTCTTGCCCTTCACTCTCTGTGTGGCTAACATACTGCTACAAATGCCCAGGCTTTCTTAGACATAGACTGAAAACCACTGCGTGGTCAGCAGCACCAAGGAGAGGAGGATCACTGGGGCCAGGGTGTAAGAAGAGGCTTTAAGAATAGGAAAGGATAAAGTCCAGTTTTTAAGTCAGGATGGGATTTGAATAAGAGGAAAGGAAGAATCTAGTTAATTGCTGGATGATAGAATGCTGTAAACAAAGAATGTGAAGTAGGAAACTGGAGCTGAGAAAGTTGGATTTACCTTAGACCACAGGGTACTGTTAAAAAATCTACCAAACAAGGGCTGGGGTTTTATCTCAGTGGCACTGTGCCTGCCTGGCAAGTGCAAGGTTCTGAGTTAGATCCCAGGTACTGGGGGGCGGGGGGGGGGATCTACCAAACAGGGCCCGGGATTTAGCTCTGTGGTTCTGCCACCTGCCTCGCAAGCACAAGAATCCGAGTTCTATCCCCAGTACCAAAATAACCCAAAAAACCAAAAGAGGCATGTGTATTAGAGATACTGGAAACCGAGGCCCAGAGGACAGAAAGATTTGCCAAGGTCACTAACAAGTGAATGGTAGAAACACTAGGGATTTAGAAGCTGGTTATTCTAACTTGGGTCACAATCTGTTGCCTTTTCAGGCAAAATGTGACTTTTCTGGGGGGTATGTCTATTTGTTCATCTGTTGATCCATCCATATATCCATCCACTCATTCAAAATGTTAACTGCCCACATGTAAAGAATGAAAAACTGAATAAAAAATGGCTTACAATTTCAATTATAGTTAAATACCAATGAGAGAAGAAAAGTCACACCACAGGCAAGTTCCACTCTTAATAAAACAAAACAAAAAACAAGCTTTCAATATCATTGCTGAAGACAGAAGCCCTGGTAAGGGGGGAAAACTGAATGTTAAGCAGAGAAAGAACCAAGAGACAATATGGGATCTCAGTATGATCTAATTTGGAAGGGGGATTTACAAATGAAGAAAATCTGAACTGACATATCAGAATATTAAGGCAGGGTGTTCAGATCACATAGTAATTTTATTATCTTCTTTTTAATTTAAAAAATTTCTATGAAGCACTATTTTTCTCTGTTAAAGTGTATTTAATATAGTAATTATATAATTATCCTTATCAAATTTTTGCTGCAAAATTAAGTACAACTGCTTGTATAGAATGGTTTAATATGTATTCAGTGTGATTTGCTGCTGATGCTACATCAGTTGTATTATTATCATCACCATGAACCCTTAGAAAATACTCATTATTATGCCAGGCACAAATGTAAGTGCTTTTTTCACATGTATCAACTCAATCCTTTTAAGAGTAAATCACCATAAAAAGTATTACTATTACTCCAAACAGAGGTTAAGTAAACTGCCCAAGCTAACACAGCTAGTAAAAGAACTGGAACTCAAACTAACTCAGCTCCATCATCCCCTTGACTACCCCTTCTACTGCCTGCACTAGACCTTGTCAAAACAGTGTGGTACCACAGATCACTAGGCTTACCTGAAGCACAGTAATTGTCGGCTGACAGGTACTTTTCTAATAGTGTAATGACACAGGTTTATAGTTTCTACAAAAGAATATCAGAATAAGATTGCTGCACTATAATCACATTATTGAGGGCATATGGTATGAGGCACTAAAAGATATTTTAATTTCTAGATATTTATAATATGCCCCCAAAGCAGCATGTTGTAATCTTTAAGTTTAATAATAGATTGTGAGATAATATATTATCCTTGCCCAAATATTGTTTCATGTATTATCAACCAATGCTGATGAAAGTCATACAGCTTCAAAATCTACAGAAATTATAAAGGATTTATAATTTTATTTTTTCATTTTACAAATTAAAAAATGAGACACAAATTAACTCACTAAACTAATTAAAGGCATAAAGGCCTCTGCTCCTGATAATACCCTCTCAACAAATACACAGAGAGTTTTCTTCAAAATTACAGAACAGTTTTGTAGTAGAGCCAGTCTATAGCTAGAATGGTAACTATACTGCTTCCTTAGAGACAATTAAATACTGCTGGTAAGAGCTAGTTTTTTGTCCTCCATGTCTTCACTCTCCCGGTACCTGCTCCCCTCACTCTTTCCTCTGTTTGGGTAACACTTGCTTAAACTCAGCTCAGAGTTACATCCTGTTACTGGTAGACAGCATAGGCTTTTAAATTAATTAATTAATTAATTAATTTTATTTTTTGGTACTGGGTATCAAACTCCGGACCTTGTGCTTGTGAGGCAGGCAGCGGAAACACTGAGCTAAATCCCCGGCCCTAGACAGCATAGGCTAAAGACAACCAACAGCATTCAATGCCTATCACTCTCTCAGTTCCTCTATCATGTGGCAATCTAACTGATGACTTACCCACTTCTCCCATTACTCTTCTAGAGTTCCTTGGGCAGGGACAATGTTGTCTTTATTTAGAATCTCCAGCATGTTGCAGATTTCCTACATTATTGCAAATATTCAATAAATACTTTCTGAATCGCAAATAATCTCGTGGTTTTTCTGGTATGTAGTGTATACCTAACAAACAACCGCTGTACAGATAAAACATAAAGAATGTGTCTGCTTCTCCTTCAAAATTACGCCTAACTTTCAAAAGCTGAGAACTTAAGCCACTGAAAAGTTTGATCAACAAACTGCTTACCATGGATGGTGGAGAACTACTATGGGCAATAAGCAGCCAACAGTGAAATCGAAAGCCCTCTGCTTGTCTTTTTCTGAGGCCAGGTTGTACTCCTTCCACAGGCCTGTGTAGCTTTTTAATTGCTATTTCTTTCCCTATACTAACATGTAAAAGTTGATTCACATTTTTCTTCCTATGTGTCTCTCGTATATATACACAATATTCTTTTACATATATTTCCTGATATATAAAAAAGAATATAAATGAATATATTTGTCCAGGTATGTGTGTCCAAGACCAGATTTTAGTATCTGGAAGAGAATGACTAAATTCTAGTATCTAGTAGAACACCCTAGCAAAGTACCTTGCATTTAGCAGACAATCCATCCACACACATCTGCTGAACTGAGTTGTTAATAAGAGGCTTTCAAGTGCCATGTCTGACAATGTAGAACTACAAAAGATCTTTCGAAAAACCTCAACTACTTCTGTATTAAAAACAAAAGGAAACATTCTGTTGAGTTTTAAAATGTAGGTTAGGATAAAATTTCCTTAAAAAAACTCATACTTTTAAATTCTTAACTTAATTTTTAGGAAAACTTTTGTCTCTACATATAAACGTTACTTGTATAAAAAAGAATCAAACTGTTAACAATTGTGTATTTTACAGGTTTCCACTCCTTACATGCTATGTATCTTTCTACTTACAGTAAACTTTTATTGTTTATAAATCATCCAGACTACATTACAGCTGTCTGATCAGACTACGACAGTGTGTAACAGTAAATTACTTTTGAGCTTGGATATGAAAGACAAGACCTAATCTGCCATCCAAAGATCTGAGGACGCATTCTCAGAGGAGACAGCAGTACTGAGCCCTTGGCAGGAATGAGCCTCATAGTTTAAACAAAGCAAAGAGGAAGAGGAATATGAAATATGGATAAGAGGCAAGCCAGAATCGATTGTCTGTCTTGGAAACTGAAGAAAGAAGTACAGACTTTAATGGAGAAGTAAAGATATTCAATTAAAAGGTTTAAAACAAGTAAGAAAGAAGATCCGATTTTGTAATTCACTGGTAAGATAAATTTCTAGGAAAGAACTATTAGGTCTTATTACTACTATGCACAATTTAAATTAGACAGATATTTTAAAAATGACTCCAAAAAGCTGTACCCATTTCTATTTCTATAAAGAAGATATGAACAGTGTCGTTTCTCCCAATCTGTGCAACGATGGACAATACCAAAATGTAAAATCTTTGCTAACATGTAAAACTTGATTCACATCTGGCTCCAATTTTATTTTAATTTCTCTATATTAAATATTTCTCTGTATTATACATGTAAGTTTCTCTACAGAAAGAATTTGTCATGTCCATTGGAGACAGGCCATGTAAACAATACAAACAGAACAGATCTGTCACAGAATGACAACATGTATCTTCCCACAAGCATGGAAAGACAATAATGGAAAATGACAGTGGTTCAATACTCAGGAAATCTCACTTGTTCTTTTCCTAGCACAATATCTACCTAGGAATAAAATCAGTCCTATTATCTCGCTCTCACCATGTAACAATGGTGAATGTGTATCTTTGCAAATGTGGCTGAGTATATCTATAAGATTCAGAAGTAGATTTGCTGGAACAGTTTTTCATAGTTAAAATATTGATATGTAGGGCCAACCTGATTTCCAAACATTCTGTAATCCATTCCCACCAAAATTGTGGAAAGTGGAAGATTGTGATGTTTCCATTGTTATTTTCTTTCCTAATTCTCTACCTGCATCATTAAGTTAGACATGGGAATCCTCAAAAGCAACATTTAAAACAAGTATAAATTATTAAAATGAAAGATTTAAAAACAAATTTGATATATTTTATTTGGTCACCTATACTTATCCATGTGACACAAAACTACTATGCTGAAAAGATAAAGAGATTCTACTGCCACTAATTTCCAAACTTTTCTTGCCTTACAAATCAATCTTTTATAATAGATATCAATAAATTGTGGGACACATAAATTAAAGTTACAGTAAAAATAAGAAATTTTCATACTAAATACAAAAAAATTATAATACTTACAATCATCTAGGTCTAGAAGTGAGACATCTTTGGTAAGAGAAATTCTATCTTGCTTTAGTTTTTTTTCTTTCTCCTATAAAATAATAAATAAATATTTCATTTATTTCGTGTTTTGTTTTTAAAAACCTAGGAAGCATTATTAACATAAAAAAAACTTTTTTCTTTCTCTTACACATTAAGCCTCTGTCTGGCTACATGAAACATTTTTCAGAATAAAAAACTTCTGCTCAATTAGCATACAATATTTCTTTCCCATTATGCAAACTGTTAATTATTTTAAAATATTTTATATTTAAAGTTCACAGGGGGTTTTAGAAGAAAATTTAAAAGTGAATAATTATGATTTTATAAGCTGACAACTTTTGCTAATATAAAAATGTAATGTGGCTCTTCAGTTTGAAGTATAGGAGCATTCTTAAAATAATTTTTAAACAAGTTTACTTAAGAAAAAGAATTGCCTCAGCAATACATGCATAGCTCTGAAATCATCAATGGGCTTATAACAGGTTAACCTCTTTGGCAGTACTGTGACATGTACTAGGCATTCAGAATTTCAACAATGGGTTGTGTCTAACCTCTTTGCCCAAAGTATTCATTTAAATCTATGAATGACATTCCCAGGCTCTTGCTCTTGCGTGGGAAAGGATTTACTTACTTGACTGTTTTGTAGAGAGAATATTTCAAACTTATCTGCTCATAAGTAGGGCTTCCCTCAGAACAACTTTTCTTATTCAGAATACTGTATTTATGAAAATAACTATGGACTAGAACACAGCACTCAGAAGTCTGAAGTATTCAGTTTGGTTAGACATTCAAAAAAGATTAGTTTATCTTTTTTCCAAGAAAAAGGACAGTACTAAATAGTATTGTAAACAATTAAAAACCAAAAAAGAGTAGGGTGTTAAACAAATATATCTGAGTCAAAGTTACTTATGTTTATAATCTGCCCTCTTTTATTTTAAATGAAATCTTCTCAAATTATAAGTCAGAACTTTTTACTAAAATCTATTCATTCATTGATTCATTCAATAGGTATGTACAGAATTTTAGATGTGTATCAGATTCTGTGCTAAGCAAAGGAAGTAACAGTCCAGACATAATCCCTGACTTCAAATAATTTATAATCTCCCAAAGGAGTTGAGAACTTATTGTTCATATGAATTATTATAAATGTTTCTGAAGTGTTTGAGCCATGGAAACGTATCACTGAAGCAAAAGGTGCATAACCACCACCAAAAGTTTTCCCAGTACTGCAGCTCTTAACAGCAGTGCACACACAAGAGCATTTACCTGAAAGTATATGGTAGGTAACATTTTAAAGTGATTTTAATCCTGCTTATTTGCTTCCCTTATGCCAATACTAGGAAAATCAAGGATTATATAATATATTAAAACATCAATTAAAATCATTAACATTGACTTTCTTCCTCAAAATAACTATTTCTGCTATTGAAAACTAAAGTTTTAATTTTCATTTGTTATTTAAAAACACAACAAACAGTATTTATCTCTCTCTCCACTCTCAAAATGAGTAACAATATCTACAGCTGGGGAAAAATAAAAGAAATGTTAGTGTTGAGGCTGAAATTTAAAAGTTGCATGTAAATGCAAACAGGTTCAGAATGAAAATGGCATTTCAACTAGAATATTTATTCCTGTGGAAAAAGAACATATAACAAAAAGAGCTTAGCATCATGTGACCTATCAAAATGCAGTGCTGGCACAGGGTGTAACTTCCTATAAGCTACACTGGTGCATGACTGTCTTTATGAAACTGTAACCTCCCCAGTTGAAAAATTAGAAACCTATCATATCAAGATAAAGTTAAAGCTGAAGCCAAGTCTATACTTTATTTTCTACTCCACAGCCAAGAACATGTAACAGTATCTATTAAATACACATCAGGTCACATACAACATAGAGCAGAGCTGCATGTGAAATTGGCATAATCTATTAGAAGCCCAGAACAGAAAGAAAAAAGGCTTTCAAAAGGACAGAATTTCATTGACTTTCTGTGAACAGCAAATAACCGGTGACTGAAATACAACATTAGCAATAGATAATGGACAATTCTACCGAACTGAAAAAACCTTGCATTTGAATCAAGACTATAAAATGCTTCATGATGTGTTTGGCATTCCCCTCTTACACTGTATTTCATTTTTCATTTAAAAAAAATCCATAGTAAGTTCAAAACATTTTCATACTTAAACAATCTACTAGAAAAATAAAAATCTGAATTCTAAAAGAAGTTAAGAGCTCTACTCCATCAAACATTTCTCCATTTGCAATTCATCTTGGTAATAGAGACAGAACCTGGGCAAATGCATATAGGACTCGAGGCAGAAGATTTTTCTTGCTCAATGCATAATTCATGTGCTCTGCCTGCAAAGTGTGTAAAATGAGAATTTCACACCGCAGCATGAGCCATGGAGCTGGAGAGAAAAGGCAGATGAAATCATATTTTACTGTGTGAATTTTATTTCTTACCCTCCCAATATTTATACAAAACCATCATTGACAAACCAAACACACTGACAGATCACCCACTGTTTCCATTGTGTTAGTACTTGAGAAGAGATCAGGCAGAAAGAGAGACAATTTGTTTTTGTATATATTTTTTTTAAATAGAGGATTAGGTTTTTAACAGCTGAGTGACTGTATTAGACTTTTATAAGGACAACAGTAACTGATCTTAAGATATCACTATAAAAAGTACCAAGTTCTCAATTCTTCCTCCTCCAATCTCCATTTTATTTCTATGGTGTTCGATTATACATCCCAACACATCAACATTTTCAGAATGTAATACAAAGGCACAAGATTAAGCACTTGATTTCTATTTAATATATTTCATTTTCAATAATAAATAAAAGAGCCTGGAAATACTAAGTTCCAAATAATACACACAAAAATATGTAACATTTACCAGTAAAGATGTTTTATGTATTAGGTGTGTTCATTTTCATGCCGATTTTTTAAAAAGTGGAAAAAAAGATCTGACATGACAAGCACTATATATGCTTCCATTATAAAGATGTTTTAAATTTAAAACTGTAAGACAGGATGAGCAATATGCAAAGTTTGTCAAACCCATACTGTGCTTCGAAATCAACAACAATTCAAGGCTAATTTCTAGCCTCACAAGGCAATATAGTTGCATGAAATAATTTCAATTAGAATTATACATCAAGAACAATTTAATGACTCTTTTTTCTTCAAGCTATCTGATGAATATGATTTTTTAAAAAATCTGACTCACACGTAAACTTACACCTTAAAACAAAAGTACCAGTGAGTTAAAAAGAGGCAAGTGAGTTAAAAAGAAATGGCTAAAACAAATCTTTTCCTATTAAGATTATACCTACTCCAATAGGAAGGCCCACTTAATGGCATTCCCTTTGTTTTAAGTCTCAACTGAAACCATTTTGGAAAACTCAAAATATGAACTAAACTGGGAAAGAGAGAAATAGAAAGAGGAAAGGCTTTGAGTTATTAAGAATAAAAACCAATATCCTTCAATATTCATCGAAGTTATGCAACTGCAGCATACATATAAGAATATAATTAAAATCTGTTTTCTATTTCTTAAATAGAACAGAACACCAATCAGAAAACAGTTCCATTTCATACCATATGCCAAACTGCTTTATGCCCAAGAACTTTTCACACATGTAGTCTTCATCCCCAAATCTTTTGTTTGGACAAACCTTAACACCTGCTGACATTCCAGCACTAGACACTATGCCAGTGACTGGTGCTGGGAAATGACAAGATGTCACCAGCTTCTCTGTACCTCATAGACGGACTCACAAAGTGTGAGAGGAAGCTGACTAGGAGAGCAGCTCCAACACTGCTGAGAACACAGAGATGGGAGTCTTTCTCACAGCTAGTACACACACTGATCCACACATGGGATGCTCTTAACAGTAAGTGCTAAGCACACATCTACTAAATATTTATTTCACACTGACAGACTATGTTTTATATGCTGCTTATATAATTAAAATGTTAATGTGTAAAGGAAAATGTATAAAAGTTATTCACAATAAGTAATAATCATGATTTATAATTATAATTTTAATCATTAAATTTTCAGTGGGTGGTATGCAGACATTACAGCTATAAACAAGAATATGTACTACAGTTAGGGTGTGAATAGTGGACTAACCAGCTGATAGCCAAACTAACTATAGTGTAAAGGAGCTCTAATATACATTGGTTAACGATGAGAACACCACACTCTGTTGGCATAACCCTGTAATCCCAGCACTCGGTAGGCTGAGGCAGGAGCATCACTGCAAATTTGAACTCAGCCTGGGCCACATAGTGAGTTCAAGGCCAGCCTGAACTATATAGTGAGACCTTTTCTCAAAAAAAAAAAAAAAATTCTGGAAACTTTGAAAACACTAAAATAAAATTTTCACCATCTGTTCAACACAAAATTTTAACTATCAGCAGAATATAACTTAATTACTTTGGTAAAAAATAAGATAAAGTGATATAAATGCAAATCTCTTCCAGGCATGATGTTTATTAATGATTTTTCTCTCTATTCTACAAAAAATAATTTTTTCTCTTCACATTGTGTATAGCATGTGAAAATGTTTAAAATATGGAATTATTAAAAGTAATTTTGTTACAATTTACTACTTAGGGCAAAAGAATTATTTCATGAAAAGGACTATACTCAAAATGTTTCTCGAATATACTTCAGAAAAGAATACTGACACAAGTATGACTGTCTAGGCTGGGCGTGGTGGCACACACCTGGAATCCCAGCACTCAGGAGGCTGAGGCAGGAGGATCACAGTGAGTTCGAGGCCAGCGTGGGCCACATAGTGAGTATAAGGCCAGCCTGAACTACATAGCAAGACCCTGTCTCAAAAAAGGAAAGAAAGAAGTTTGCCTGTTTATCAAAATAACTGTAACTGAAACAAGATAATCTTCTTTGATGATTACCGACAACATCTTATCTTAAATGAGGATGCTTCTCAATCAAGAAGACAAGCATGGCACCTGAAGATGTGACTACAATTTTGTGCCTTCTGCTGCCTGGAACTGAGTAGCAGACCCTTAGGGTACAGCAGCAGTGGTTCTGCCGCTGCGCCATTCACACGAGCGATACCCCCTCCTCGGTATTGTTCTTCATTCCCTATACAGTAGTCATTTTCAGATATGACCACACTCAGTTATGAGGCCACCTTCTTCTCTGCTTATATTATTTTCAATAAAAGAAATGTGTGGAAGAACAAAGACATAGAAACAGGAAAGCATACAGCTTGATAAGGGAATCACAAATCCTTCATTAGGATCAGAACACAGGGTAGGCTAAGACCGTATGGGCAGGTGTGGGCAAGCTAGCCCAAGGAATTCACTGAACTCAGATGGCAACAGGGCTTACTCCAGGTGCCTCTATCTTCATCTGGCAGCTGTGTAGAGGGACTGTGGTAATGGATGCATTGGTCTAAAGATGACCCATGGCAATTATCTAAAAAGTATTGAAGAACTGGTCTAGAATAGTAAAAGCAGGAAAAGAAGAAACAAATGCGAGGAATAACACAGAGATTGCAGAGAATCTGGCAACAATCAAAACATAGATAATGACAGGAGTCAAAGACAATACTGGAAGAAAAAAAGAATGCAGGTGTCAAAAGGTGGCCCATGTCTTCTGGTTGTATTAGTTTTGGAAACCCCTGAGAAGTCTAAGAAATTGGTCTGAACTTACAAAGAAAAAATGGAGCTATTGTAGAGATAGACAGATATTACCACGGAAGTATTTCAGTGGAAGCTATACGAATGAATGAGGTCTGACAATAGGAAAAATGGGGAGGAGAGGATTAAAGAAAACTTTGTTCATGTCAATTAATACGTTTGAAAAACTGTTATGTACTAAGTACTGATTTGAACACTTGGGTGTTAGGAGAGGGTAAAAAGTAAAGTAACCAAAAGAATGGAAGGTCAATAATGTTAAACCAAACCAGATGCAAATCATTTGAAATAATACAGGAATTATCATACAAAAAGAGACTGAAGAGGCTAATAACCAAGAAAGGGCCACAGGGTGTGGGGAAGGATTCTGGCTGTCTTTTCAAGGCAGTGTCTGTAGGAGGTAATAGAGGTGGAAACCACTTTCTAAAGTTAACAGACATAATTGTGCTAAGAAGTAGTGGGTGGAAGATGTGTAGATTATTATTTTCTAAACTCACATCTCACATTTTCTCTCTCTCTCTCTCACTCCTCACTCCTTTCTCTCTTTAGAAGCTGGAAAAGACTTAACTCCTTTCCTTGACAGAAGAAGAAAGAGATTGAAAGTATAAAGGAGGCAGGTGACTATTAACAAAACAAGGGCAAAGAGAAGTAGGATTTATTCCTGGCTGAGTGGGGAGGGATCACTTACTGGGAGCTACATTAAAAAAAAAAAAGGAGGTTAACACCATGTGTGGTGGTGCATGCCTGTAATCCCAGCCCTTGGGAAGCCAAGGCAGGAGGATAACTGTGACTTCAGCCAGCTTGAAATACACAGCAAGACCTTGTCTCTAAATAAATAAGTAAACAAATAAATGGGGTGAATGGTGATTTTTTTAGTTAGAAAGCAGAAAAGTATGAGATATTCACAATGGACAGCAGTTGTCTTCTGAAGAAAGTGATAAGGTTACAGGCTGCAAGTAAAAGGTTGTCACTGAATGCTGACTTACCATTTGAGTAATATAAAAAGAGCAAATATGTAGGAGGCTCAGGAGCCAAAGCTTTAGGTTCCTTTTAGCACTGGTGTTCTGTAACTCTGACACTGTTGATCTTTTGTGAAATTAAAGTTCAGGTTAAAAAGTGCTATTTTATAGTTGCATAGCGCTTTACATCAATCTTTTTTTTTTTTTTTAGGGGCACCGGGGATCGAACTCAGGTCCTTGCGCTTGTGAGGCAGGCGGTGGAACCACTGAGCTAAATCCCTGGCCTCATCAATCTATCAATCTTTCATATTTGACTTTTTACCATAATATTTGAAAGAAGGAAGGTAGGTGCTAGCATCAACTTTATAGTTCAGGAAACTGAAGCATAAAGATATTATCTCCCAACAAGTAGAACACTATACTTATCTCATAGGACCACCATAAAAATTAACTGTTTTGAAAGTCATATACAGTAAGTATTCAAGGTAGCCTCAAGGTCTTATTTTCATGCTTAATGCCCCCAAAACACATTGTCCAGATAAAAGAAAAAGAGACAAAGCATAGATTTAGCTAGGCTGCAGACTTAAGGCATATAAATTTTCAGTACTAACTTGCTGTCATGCTAAATTAAGGTAAAGCACCCACCATCTGCCTTCATTACTCATAATTTGGAGCAGAAGCCACAACCCTTGGTACAAGGAGGACTTTTCCACAATTACAGAGTTGCTTATTATTAGAAAATTGGTACACTTGTAATCACATGGTATATTCCATATCATTCAGAGAGAAATGGAAGTATGAAATTATGGTAGCTCTGAGATAGAGAATATTTATTTCAATTGTTCAATTAAAGCAAACACACACACAAACCACATCAGCTTGTCACAGGTAAGTCATCTTAATAGAGGAAATAAGTCATCTAAAGAAAATATATAGACGCAAAACTATCAACAATGTAAGTCAAACCTAATTTCTCATGGGTCTTGCCTCACTGCAATAGTTTGATTTTTTTATACTGATGTTCTATAGTAAATTATTATCAATTGTTAAGAGATTCAATTTGATCACTGAAGTCTTTGACAAAGAAAAATTAAATCACCTGGGTGCCACTATAGTTTTTTAATAGGCTTTCAAACCTCTGCTCCTAATACCATATAGGCAGGTAAGTCTACAATTTTTCAACTCTTACCAAACGTTTTAAGAATGATTTACTTTAATTACACCTCCTTGTCATTTGCTGATGTCTTCCTCTGTCATTTTATTGTTTTTTTGTTTTGTTTTGTTTTTTGGTACTGGGGATCAAACTCGGGACTTTGCACTTGTAAGGCAGGAGGCAGCACCGAGCTAAATCCGGGCCCCTTCCTCTGTCATTTTAAAAACTGACTTCTTATTCTGAGTTGTACTTACATTAATTTTGACACCCTTTTGTTTTAAATAACATCCTAAGCTATTCAGTATAGAAAATGAGAATATAACAAACTCACTGCATAATGAGATTTTATACAAGGCCACATTAACAAATGATAAAAACCTCTAAACATTTATGAGAATTTGTAAAAATAAAACTCTTAGGTTACGCTATAGACACAAGATTTAAATATAAATCTAACTTTAAAATAAATTTTACTATACACAAAAATATTTGAAATAAGGCAAGACAAATTTTAGTCAATATTTTAAATATGCTCAGTCTTAATAAATCTCTGAATGGGGGAGGGCAACTGTCCACTCCCATGAATGTGTTTCACGCTTGGATACTCAGAGGACATATTGAAGACATTCAAAATCATAGAACTACCAAGTGAATGAAAAAAGAATACTGGGTTAGGAATAAAAGAAGGCAGTGACCATATTTTCAACATATGGAATATTATGGTTGATATATAAAACAACTGCGCTTGAAGCCCAGCTTGAGCTGGGGTGTTCATAGTACATGGAAGGGCTGATAGATCAGAATGATTATTAGATATACATTTTATATTATTAAATACATTTTTGTGATTTATGCTTTTATTTTTTGCTACAAAGCAGACAAAAAGTTCTGTTTTTAAAATGTTATATCAAAAAGCATTTGAATTGTACTGTATTACGTAAATGATTATAACATTTGTTTTAAAATTCTGCATTTTTTTGAAGCAAAACATTTATTGGAACATTTTAGATATACATAATGATGACATTCATCATAGGGAATCTGGACCTGTACATGAAATATCTTCTTTTTTCCCTATTAACTAGTTAAATAACATACACCTTCTAATTAAAACCTTAAAAACATTCTATTATCTGCTAACAATTGTTATTAAATGTCTAATACTTTTTAAAAAGTGGATTAATCTCAATTTTTCATGATGTATGCACATTTACAATACTCTCTTGCTCAGCAGTATTTCTGTGGCTTCCTTTCACTTCCTCTTTAGCAAAAGCCTCTCTTGTCATAACTAGCCATGAATTTCAGGGGGAAGGGACAAGGTAAAAAGCAGTCCTAACTTCTCTGCAGAATTAGACTAGAAGAGAAAGGTCTGCCTAGAAAAAGTAAACTCATAGATGTCAAGGAATGGACACAGTGGTGTTTATTTTAGTTGTAATGATGTTAAACTTTTTTGTTTGCTTGACTTTCAACAAAATACTAATTTTTAAAAATATTCTTAACTTGGAAAAGAATATATACAAGAATAGTTTTCTTTGATTACCACCATGCATAATCTCTTACCTTAGTGACTTTTCTGGATTCAGATTCATTTTCAGATTGTGATTCAGACTCTGAAGAACTTTCTTCTATTGAACTAGATTCAACATTAGAAGAATCTGAAGTTTGAGATTTCTTATTTTTCTTCTCCCCATCTTCAGAATCACTATGCATAATAGTAAATTTTGATATATTAACTATAACTCCTTTATATAAATACATTTAGTTTATATAAAACACAATGAAAATGGTTTTAAAATTTCAGAATATAGTAATGAAACTGTAACATAGTTTTACCTATAACCAAATAAATCAGAACTACCTCAAATGCAGAAAGTCATAAAATAACACTAAATGACATTAGTACTGGGCCAGGGATTTAGCTCAGTGGTTCTGCTGCCTGCCTTGCAAGCACAAGGTCCCGAGTTCGATTTCCAGTACACCCCCCCAAAAAATGACATTAAGTATTAACAGTAATAACTACAAAGATTTAAACTGCTGTCTCAAAATCATGTTTATTGATAAATTTAAATACTGACAGTGTAATATTTTTGCTAGAACAGACTTGGCACTATAGATTTTTTTCCATCCAAGAAAACTACCTACACAAGTTCCCAAATATGACCTTAGACACATAATACAACAAAGTTTTAACCACTTCCATGAGAATTCCTCTAATCTACCAAGTCTTTCTAAAAAATAAATCAAATATAAACTTAAAAAATAATCAAATGATCACACCTAAGTGCTTAACACCATTCATCTGTTTACTCCTAATATTTACTGATTACTGACAGCAGGCTGGCACTATCTGAGGTGCTAAGGATAACACTGTTACTAAGGTACAGATTAGCTCTGTGTATCCCTTTTATTGTTAGCCCATTGGAGGATACATGGAAATGTGCAGGAGCTTAATAAAATATAGTGTGTCATGAGAACATTGGAGGGACGTCTAAAGTAATTTAACAAAGATTCAGTGAAAGATATAAATTGAGAAACAGCATAAAGGCAAGCGGGCGTGGTAGGGGGACAGTTCTCCAAAGGACTAACGTGAGCCAAACTTCTTACAATGACAGATGCCTTAACGTGTTTTATATAAATGTGACTCAAAACTGAAAGTCTAGTTCTCACCACTATGTGTGCACATGTGTGCATGTGCTTATTATTTTTAAAAATTGAAGTAGTGCTAGGCATGTCATATTAATCATTCCAATCATCTAATTTAGAGGCACTCTTTCTGAGTACATTATATTACTCATCTACAATAATGAAACTAGTATTCAAGAAGGGTGAATAACTTCCTCACAGACACTCAGACAGGCAGGCAACAGTGGAATCTGAATTTGAGTCTATCTTATTCCAAAGTCCACAGTTTCCCACTGTATCATATCACTTTCCAACACACGAAAATATTTTAGACTGTAAAATTCAAGTTTAGTCATAAGTAGTTACAGTCACAAAAAGGTGGTTTTGGAAAATAACTGAAGCTTATGAAGAGCTTTAGAAATTACCATACTGGCAATTTTGTAAAAAATTCTGAGAGACAAGTAAAGAGACACAGGCTGAGGGAGAGTAGTGAGGCCAGAAAGGAATCAATATTTCTCAGAATCAATTTTTGTGGAGGAAGTATGATTGGTGTTTATCAAATACGGAACTATGGCAACATTTCAGCACATACGTAATTATATTTGAAGTCTAGAAGTATGGTTTTTTTCCTCTAGAAAAGAAAAAGAATGGCAATTTATTACCCCCAATTCACTGAGCAAAACATACTGAAAAATATGAGGATTTATTCATTTGTGGTTTTCTTTGGTAAAATAAACAATTCTTTCAAATTCAAACATGAGTAAAGAAAAAATTATTTTTTAAAAAAATCATGAAACTAATATATGATTATAAATTTCTAGCATATTGATGTTGGCTATCTGAAAATACACTTCATGCATTGATCAAAACTTTCTCTTTCTGGGCCGGGGATTTAGCTCAGTGGTTTCGCCGCCTGCTGCGCAAGCACAAGGACCCGAGTTCAATCCCTGGTACCAAAAAAAAAACCTTTCTCTTTCTATAAACATGATGCTTTTTCTAAATCACATCATCATAGGTATTCTGATGTTAAACCAGAAGTAGAGAATTTCTCTCAAAAATAAGCCTATTACAAACCAAGTATCTTCCTTTGCTGCAACAAGTCAATGATTCTAAATATATCTAACTTCTAGCATTTAGGATAAATTTTGAAGGTAAAAGTGTTATTTTAGTATGCATCACTCAATTTTGATGGTAATTATTGTTTACCTTACTGCTTAGAGTTTCAGATGTTAACCTAATGAAAAGAATTTACTGGTAACTAGGTTTTTAACTTTGCAATGATGAAAAGCCTGTATTAATTTAACCTACAGATTTCATTTGTTCTGAACAGGAAAAACAATATAAATCACTTTTAAAATCATTAAATCCTGACTTAAATTAATAAAGTCATAATTAGGGCATTATGCTGTGTTTGTTATGGAAGTGGCAGGGCGAGCTGCTTTAATTACTGTCTGTAATAAAAGGAGCAGAGAGCGTACTTCGCCCCAATCAGTGCTGTCAGCCACGACGGAGCCAAGCTGCAAGCTCATCAAGTGAGCGGGCACCGGGCTCCCGGGAAAGGGCCATCATGTCACCAGAGGCCACTCACTGACAGCTGTGGGGAAAACACAATCACACAATCCAAGGTATTAGCCCCAATTATTCAAAATTTTAATGACACTTTAATACATGATAATACTGTTGATAATGGAAGATCTTAAAAAGCACTAACACTTAAATATCTTATGACCGTCTTCCTTCACAGCCTTTGACTCTAATATTTGGATCATAATCTTTTTAATATAACATTATTTAGAAAAATCAATTGTCTTGGTTACATAATGGCAAAGTGTGGAAGGATTTAATTTTAGCCCTCAGCAAAATTGCTACAAAAGGTAATTAAGTGTTTCATCCCTGCTGCTTGGTCACTTAACTCAGCTGCCCAAGGTTATACCAATTTTGAAAATGTAACCCAAAGATTTGTTCAAGTTCATAATGAAATCTAAGTACTGTAAGTAATACAATAACGTGAACTACTAGCACCTTAAGTTAATTTTAAAAGATTATATATCTATTTGGGAGAAAATATACCCAAGTTATTTTCTCATTCTATGATTTAAAGGGAAATATTTGCTTGGGGAAAATACCACAGAGCATTTCTTTAAGGAAGCTCTGACCGAACAGTTCACCTTTCCCCTTTGGTTTCTGGATTCCTTTTGGTAGCTGCTTTGTCTTCTGCCACACTCCCATTCTCACTCTCCTGCTCATTGGATGAGTCCTCGCTGTCCTCGCTGGTGTCCTCACTACTGGCCCCATCATCTCCACTCTCACTTCCAGATTCACTCTCTGAAAAACAGAACCAGATGCTCTGACTTACAGCCCTTTCATTATACACAAGGACACTGTACCTGTCACCATTCCTTACAAAGGACATCAGATGCTGAGTTTTAGGGAAGTGGTCCAACTTGTTGAATACCTTCTATTTCTGCTCCCTACTCATTCAGATCTGTGAGATGAATTTGGAGGATGGATGGACAGAAGATGTTCCGACATGGGGTTGAGAAAAACAAAGTCAAGTTGAACCAAGTAAACCAAATCTGAGGGAGTCTCAGTTTTCATCAAATCCCTAAGTATCCACTATTGTACATATTTTGTTTTTGAAAAAATGACATACATGTGATGCAAGGATGAGGGATACTGAATTCTTCTATTTGTAATAAGAAAATTTTATTTAGTGAAAAGAAGTCAACAATTTGATAGACTTAGGAATAAATATTGAGGGGGAAATGAGCCATATAAATCATCTCCAAAAAGCAAAGTCAAGGACAATAAGAAAATTATTAAAGAGCTGTAAGTAGCACAGGACACTAGGACATATTGGTCTAGTAAATGATAAAAATTGAGGAGTTATACACTTAAGAGTAAATATTTTATGTACAAATTATGGTATACTAGGATTCTTTTTGCAGAAGTAATTCATAGAGTCTCTTTGTGTCTATTTTTAAAAATGAACCATAATTGTTCAGTGTTTAAAATGATTATAGGTGTAGAGTTGTGCAACAGATGAAAGGAAAACCATTGCCCCTCCCTGTGTGCAGTGAGAATAACACACCAGGGCCTGCCGCATCAGCATCCTCTTCAATGAAGAGTGAAATTTATTTCATCCAAACTTTACCAAAACAAAACCAATAAATACAATGAGAATTTGCTGTGACATTAAAGTTACATACACACATATTAAGTCAGTTAACTGGCTTATACTGGAAAAGAAATTACAGTATCTCACACTGTAATTGGAGTTCAACATGAATCTGGGTCCCATTTGCTTCAGATAGTATTATTTAAATTTACAAATTAATAAGAACCTTGAATAATTTGTTTATTCTCAAAAAGACCAGCTCAAGAAAAAACGAAACAAAAAAACAGGCCAGATCAACAAATAACAAAAATCTCATAATTCATAAAAGAAAAGTCATTGTAATCATCCTGTCCCTGCTCCCCCCGACACACAGGTGCGGGGGAACTCCCAACACATGACTATTATACACATTCAGATAAACTCACAAAAAGCCACATTAATGAAATATTTCAAATATATGTTGAAACAAGTTAGGAACAGCTATGAGCTTATAAATAAAGGGATGGAGACAATAATCTATATAGTATAAAATAAAAGAGAGTATGTTTAAATACAGAAACATCTTTCTCAATTGTCTATATCATTCCTGAAATTTTTTAACATTAACTTATTGGGTTGAGGTATCTTCTCTACTTTTCAGTTTATTACATCAGAAGGTAATATAACTCAGATGAATTTATCAAATTAATTTGAAAACAAAGACTTGACAGAGGAGTCAGGAATAAAAGAATGCACTACCTTACAGTAAGACAGTAGATAAGCAAGTAATAGTGAGGGGCCTTCATTCTTCTATGAGTAAAGCTTTTAGAGAAAGATGGGTATCACTTGTCTTACATCAGCTCTGCTTATAAGGCTGTTAATAAAAGAATGTAACTCCAATATATTTTTGTTGCAGAAATCATTACAGAGTTCTAGTGAAGAAGGGATTTTTAAAAACAACACCTAACTCTACCCTTTTACCTATAAGATACAGGGAAAGACAGGCAGGCACCTTACACAACTTGCATAGCTGAAACTCAGGACTTGCAAAAAGTCCTTGCCTTTCAGTATTCTTTTCATTGCATATTGCTGCCCTCAACTGTTTTGGCTCTGAAAACAGAAGAATTCTGGGATGTCCTAGATTTAATTATAGGTCAGAAGATAGAAGAGAAGACAAGAAATCCTTCCATGGAACCTACAGTGTGAATAGAGTATTTCAGTAAATTATGAAACGCACCACTGTCACTGCCGCTATCAGAAGAGTCCTCTTCTTCCTCAGATTCAGAGTAAAATTTTTTAGAAGGGTTTTCTTTCTTTGCTTTGCCTGCTGGGGTCCATTCTTTTGCCTGTTCATACAAACAACACAAACACAAATGAAATGTCATTAAGGGATTCAGGTTTCTGGCAAATCATTGAGAATACACTGTGAACTTGGAGGAAAGTCAAAGGCCTCAGCAAAGAAGGCCACCTTTTAGAATCCTGGTAGTAAAGCACATCCACTTTACTCTTTACAGAAATAAATTTTCACACACAGCCCATTATTTTGAATCAACTGTCTCATTTTACAGACAATTTAAAGCACTTTTGATTTTGTTGGTGCACAGATTTAAACTAAAGTAATACAGCCTAGAACAGTTGAGGACAAACAGAGGTAGACACAAAAGTAATCAAAAATGCAGCTGATACTGAGATAAAAAGTGGGGAAAAGAAAGGAGGGAGGGAGGGAGGGAGGAAAAAGAAAAAAAAGAAGGAAGGGAAAAAAGGGGGTGAGGAAGGAAGGGAGATAGTTTGTTTACAAGTTGGTAGCATGACACTAAAGTAAAAAGGAGGGAAGAAGGGAGGGAGGGAGGGAGGAAGGAAGGAGATTTAGTGTAGGCAACAAATTTCCCTAACCATCTCAACATCCTAATGTTCTCTTCTTCATATACGAAACATCTAACCCATCAAGACGCCTTCACTGCTCTGGTCTGGGCCATCTCTAGAGCTCTTCAACGTGTTACTGCCAAGAGTCTTCTAACTGATTATCTTGCTGCTACTCCACATTTGCCCTCAACCAGTTTGCTGAACACAGTAGCTAGAATGAGCCTATCAAAACCTAAGTCAGATCAAGGTCCTCTTTTAGTTTCAAGTCCTATAATGGTTCCCCATTTCACTTGTAGCAGAAGCCAAAGTCCTTTCAGGAGTGTGCACAAGCTGGCTGACCATCCCCTCATGGCTGCTTCTTCTGCTTCCCCAAAGGCTCCAGGCCAGCTCTGCCCTAGAGCCTTGCCTTGGGTTAGGGTCAGGGTTCCCATTTCAACACTACCTCCCTCCTTTTTTAAAAATCAAAGCACTAATTTCCCAATATACTATATAATTTACCGATTTTTAAAAAAATTGTTGGCTATCCCTGACAGACCATAAGCTTCTGGAGAGCAGGGATTTTTAACTTTGTACACTGATACATCCCAAGTATGTCTGCCATAATAAATACTAGTTATATTTGTTAGCCCTTTAAAGACTTCATATTAAATTCAGAAAATGTTTAGATATAAGAAAAAGATGGACTTTTGTATTTAATAAATATAGTTTTAATGACACTGTTTATTAAATTGCTTTCACAATTGTGACCTTGATTGACTTTGAAAAAGATAAGTATAATTATGTTTCAATACTCTTTTGTAAAGAAAGAGAAATGTATATTTTTTAAAATGGTTAAACTTATTTATTCTACCTTTAATTGAGTTTCTACTATGTGCCACATAGTATATCTGCTACAGCTCATATTTTGTTGTAAAAGAATTTACAGTTGTGACATAGGTTCTTATTTAAGAATGGCTCTCAACAATGGATGCACATTAGAATCATCTGAGATTAAAAAAATATTAATACAAACAATAAAAATAATACTAAAAAAAAGAATGCCTAGGGTTCATTCTCCTTAGAGATCCTAATTTAATTGGTCTGGTACAGTTGTGACATAGTTTGTTTTCTTTAGAGATTTCCATATGATTATAATGTGCAGCTGTAGTTGAAAACCATTGACCAAAAGGCTTAAAGTATGCTGCTTAAAATGATAAGCTTTAGTAACCTGGAAAATTATCACCTCAACAATAATAGAAAAATGAGTAAAAATGACTCAAATATATTTGATTAAGATACTTGAGATCAGCACTACTGCTTTTTTATACATTCATATTTCCAAATATGAATAAAGACAGTATTCTATAAACCAAGGTCCGTAAACACTAAAGTTCCTATTTTTGTCAATCTAAAACTTTTCTCAATTCTGACAGAAAGTTTGCTGGAACAATTTAGCATGACTGAATCAACAACTTAGAAAAGTTGGGCTCTTATGCTCAAAGGGGTGTATTTTCTTGACATGACAAGAACCTGTTTTCATGGAGTTTCAAGTTTTAAAGAGCCAAAGACTATCAATAAAAGTATTTTAATGTTTGTTACAGTATGACAGATACAGCACCTAAGCAAAAGGAGAAACAGGAAAAAGCATATCAGGGAGAAGAGTAACAGAGAGTAACAGAAGCAGTACGTAATTGGAAAGTTTCTACAAAAGATATAACTCACTACTATGTGTTTATAAATCAAAAGACCCTTTACATGCAAAAGATAACCTCTCTGTAACTGGAGAAAGAAGCACTTTTTTGAACTGAGCAAATATAGTCTCAAGGACCTTCAAAACTTACTAATATAATGACATCATAACATAAATATACATTATATCTGATATCCTGGAAATGGTGGTGTGTAATTCAAAGTGACTTCCAATGTTAATCTGACCAGGTTCCCTGTTGTTTTAAGATATCAGACTATCTACACCTAGGCCATTTCCCCACTGTTATATTTCCTCAAAATGAGATCTGACCCTGGGCCAGGGATTTAGCTCAGTGGTTCTGCTGCCTGCCTTGCAGGTGCAAGGTCCCAAGTTCAATCCCCGGTACCAAAAAAAAAGAGAGATTTGACCCTATAAGAATGACACAGAATAACACAGTGCCTAAATAACACATATGCCTAAAGTAGAATGATATGACTCTGGAGGATGGTGAGACAGAATGAAAAGCAAGAAAGATGACCTAAATATTATTTTCAGCACTGTTACAGATACATTTGAAAGTATAACTGACTGTGTTATTTTTATATTTAATTGTATCCCTCACAGTATGATTTTAAGCCAATATGTCTGAGACCAGTAGACTGAAGCTGTTTTCTGCATGTCATGAACAGTGATAGTTCTCTTCAACCTGGTTTTATCAGTTATAATTATTTCCATAAGTTATCAATTATTAATTTCATGAATGTAGTCAGAAAAATGAAAAAGAAATCAATTTGTCTCTGTTGAACTGGACAAGTGAAATGAACATAAGAAAATAGCTTATTTAAGTACTGTCCTTATAAGGTAGTTAATGCTTAGAAGAACACATGAAAATGGAAGAAGCCAGCCAACCAACCATTCCATCAGCCAATATAAGGATACTGCTGAGACCAAATTAAATTCCACAGCACTGCTATCAATTTCGTCAAAGATAAACCTTTTTCAGGGGGACAGAAGGGTGAGTGGATGTAGTGGGAGGATAAACAGGATGGTTTACTTGGGCCAAAACATTATGTAACCAAAAATGAAAAAGGACAACCATAAATACAACAAACAGGCATAATAGAAATTAGGAGAAAAAATGTACTATAGAAAGAATCATAAAAAGGTATATTTTCTTCATATTCCAGTGTCTGACCAAAAGTTGCATAAATAGGGGAACTATGTAAGATTACTTAAGAGTATGTAGATTTGACTGGAAATCAACAACCTTAGCTGCAAGAAAAAATAGATGTGCAGTTAGTTTTCATAGTTTTTTATTATTTCCTAGGCCATCTCTTAACAGATAATTTGTGAAGACATGACAATGATGCTGCTGAATACCTAGGATAAAACAGATTTGCAAATAAGCTTAAGCTTCCTCTCCCTATGTTGCATAATGAAATCCAGTAAGCAAGAGTGTGGCCTTTGGAATCCTAGTCCTTCCACTAGTGAGCTATGTAAATTTAGGCAATTACTTACGTTCTCTGAGCCTCAGTTTCCTCATCTGCAAAACATGATCAACTAAGAATGACCAACACCTGTGATCACTATGAGGTTTTGTTTTGTTTTGTTTTGTTTTGTTTTGTTTTTAAAACTAGATAGTGTTTGTCAAACATCACAGTACACTGCCAGAGTTTGCTAAACAGCTATTATTAGTCATGATTGCTTCCAGCCACAGTGCAGAGCCAAGATGAGTTTCCATAGTTAAAAGAAACATTAATTCTCAGAAGAGTCAAATTACATGGCTATGTTCATTATAGAAATTATATTTAAAGTAATAGACAACTTTTGTTGTATATGAAAGAGTAAAGAGCAAAGAAATAAACTTTTCAATAGGAATTAGTGGTAAAGATCTCTAGTTATCTGAATTCTAGTTTAATGTATCTTTTCTACCAGAAAAAGACCCAGAATATAATTCTTAAATGCTCTTTCTAAATTATACTTTAAAAAGTATCAGATATATTTCACATAATCAATTTCTAAATACAATCAGAAGGCTCCTTATTGTTCTTATTTATAGAAGAAGAAACAGATAATAGAAAAAACTATGCAAATGGCTGGTATTTTTTAAATATCTAGAAAAAGAATATTTGCACAGCATGGTTTAAATGTGAAAGCAACATATTACTTGATTTAATTGTGACTTTGTCAAAGGACATTTTTGGTACACAATGTTCCCTATTAAGTATTTAGGCTTCACTTAAAACATGTTCATCAGAAAATCCAGAGGAACACTTTGTAAGGTTTTTCTGGAGAAGAACAGCAAAAATTACTTAGAAAAACATTAACAGGAAGCTTACAAATCTCTAACAAAGTAGAAAAGGCTCAGTCCAATGAAACTAAATACCTTAGAAATTGAATCTACACAGCTACAAATGCAGTTGCACAAATGTAGGCAGCACTGATGCAGAGAATTCAATTCTCTGTTTCCTTGAAGAAAGGAACAGTACATGTACAATGGCACAGGAATACAACATTGTTCAGTTCCTATAAAGGTGAGGTATGTCTAACACATGACATTTGGAAATACCAGAACAGTTTTCAATTCCCCCAAAAAGCTTTTATATAAAACAATAGTTATCCTAGAATCTCCCACTGCTTGAACAAAAGTAATTCCAGAAAGGTCAACTCACCAACTCTATTACTTCCACATTTCTAACCGATGGGTCCGGCGCCACCTCTGGCCAATTAGATAATTCCAGGTACCCAGAAGCTTTAATGTTGAGAGTATGAGATAAGGTGCCAAGCTGGAAATGCTCCCTATCTATTAAAAATAAGAGGAAAATATAAAATAAACAATATGCACTGTAGATAACAGAACGATCATAATCAGAGCTTAAGGTAATTGGCATATTACCTAAAATGTCAAGGAATAAATACGAACTAGGAAGCTCTTCATAGGTCAAAAAACTGATTTCAGTCCATAGATTACAATAATCTCCCCCATAATGGTCAATAAAAAAGCTAATCAGTCAGTGTGTTTAGAGGTGTTGCTCTGAAATGTAGCTTCTCTAAAAATTACTTTACTGCGAATATTAAGAATGACAGCACAGTTAAACAATCCATATACATGTCGTGGCACTAACACATCCAGAATTTTAATAGTTTTTCTACAAAAACTGAATTGCTCTTTATCATTTTACATCAATTAAATATGAAGCAATATGAAAATCAAGGTATATGATCACATGATTTCATTGGAATAGTTACTGTTAAACTGATAAAATATTTAATTAGTTTAAAAAAAAAACTAGGAAAAAATAAGTTCCCTCCTTGTAAACAAATTCAAATATAAAGGGATATTTTTATGAAATAATTCCTTCTAGAAATGTTGACATTAGTGCACATAGGAGGATATTTAACTAATAACTCACTATTAAGATGACATATTTCTTATAAAACTATTTAAAATAGAAACTAAATCAATTTTACAAGAATAACACAGCTTTATTATTTAGTTAGGCTGTTTAGTAAGAGTATCAATCAGAAGACCTAAAATTATTTTGGTAAATAAGGTCTATAAAAATATAAACTTTAATATAAAACTTGCTCTGGAAAATAAATGAAGAGAAAGCACACTGTTCTCATCTATCCATATCTGTTAGTCATTTATATTTTCAAAGATAAATTTTAAATGCATTAGAAATGTGACATATTGCCATAATGTTTTAGATAAACCTATCTTTTGCAGTTACATAATTTGACAATAATACCTTTAAAAGGAGACTCAAGCAGTGGTGCAGGTTTCTGTGCTAGGAATATTTTTTTGGCATATTTACTTAAAGCTCCACTCTTCTCATTCGGAACAATAAGCTGCCTAATAAATCTTGTACGGTCTCTGATGTCGTAGTTCTGATCATACTTGCCGAGATTTAATACATACTGGGTAAGCAATTTTGTCTGTTGGAAAAAAACAGAACAAGACAAGAATACAGTTATTTATGATTATTGATAACTCTGGATAAACATATTTAAAGATGTAATAAAAATGAATGGTTATGTCAAACAAATGTTGTTCCGTAGGGAATATGCATTTCTAACACGGCAAATGGAATTTTGAAGCCAAAGCACATGTCCTCTTCTGTATTGGGGAGGTGAATGCTGAGTACTGAGAAGCAGCCATGTGCTAGATTATTAAACTGCTGAAGTGGAAAGAAAGGCATCATTAAAAAAATAATCATATATGGCAAACCCGCTGAAGGGTCTACGTGAGAATAATGAATGTGGAAATACAACTAAAAACATGGCACTCAAAACTTAATCGGAAAAATATGCAGGACATCAAAACATCAGAGAGTATTAGGAGGCTGGCAAACTGCTTCTCCTGAGGTGTGTTTTATGAAGAGATACTGTCCCTGGCATAAGCAGTGTCTGCACTCTGACTGCACTCAGTTACTTTACCCTGAATTATGACCCATTAAAGCAGACACATGAATCACTGAACTGGATTACTGCAAATTATTTGCAGTGCATTTAGCTGTTACTTTTTCATAAAAGCAAGCTGCTGATGCCCTCTAAAAACTAGGATAAAAGACTTCTTCCATTTTTCCCCCATGCTGCTTATAGCCTATAGTAATATTGGTCATTTATTTATTTGTGTAAGGGAACAACTTATTATAGTAGCTTTTACACCATAATAAGTCTTCGTAAGTCAATTTTTGAATGTACTACATTAACATACATTGAGATAATTTTAATAATAATTAAATCAAAATAGAAATGTTCAAATAGGTTTGAATTTTAAACTACAAATTTTTTTTACTGAAAAAGCATAGTTTTAACTTAGAAGGCTATACAGTATGTATATACTTGTAACTATAAGCAAAACAGAATTCATAAAACCTGGGAAAATGAATTGATGAATACTAAATCATTTACATTACAACATCTTATACACGTTAGAAAAGGATAAAAATAAAATCAAAGTAGGAAGAACTAATGACAATTCTAGAACAATAAGTCAAAGTACAGGAATGGTGTAGTAAACTCCTTTACAAAAATAATTGGCTAAGATAATTGATTTGGATAGGAATGCAACCATCTTTCAGTAGCACAGTATTTAAAGAGCATTAACCCAGTTTTATTAAAGTACAATTAAAAAACTACAACTGAAAATGTTAATAAGTGCTTTGCTGAATTTGGTTACCAACAATTACTATTACTAATTGCTAAACCATGTTGGTTCAACTACATAAAAGAAAAACTCTGTGACTCATTTTCAAGACCATTAGCAAAATATTCACCAGATGAGTACAACTCAACACCAACTTAAAAATAATTGTGGTAGACCAAAGTGCAACTATCTTGCTAGGCGTGGCAAACTAAACTGTTAAGTTTCCTCAAATTTATAGTGAGAATTTACAACTAGTTCATGCTAACGTCCACCTGAACACTGAGACTTAGAATCTGCAACTAAAATAAATCAAACAAATCAAGTCTGTTAATTGCAATCTTTTGAGATAATGCAGTGATAATTTTGCTTACATTTCGTGTCCCCACTTTAATTTTCAGAAAATTAAATTTTTTGAATATATTAACAGATGCTACTAATAGTGAAATAAGGCATTTAAAGTAATTAAAATTACATAATTTAAAAATACGTATTTACAACTCATCAAGTTTATATTGGTTAAAAATTTATATTGTATATAAGACAGTTCTATTAAAATCCATTTTCAAAAATAAATTTATTCCTAAGATATAAAAGCACATCTGCATACAACAATGCATTAAAACATAGGCAGAAGAATTATGCATCATACATTCATACCCAGTCATCAGTTTGTTTGCTGTAGCTATCTCTAATACCAAGGCATGGGTATTTCTCCAAAGAATGTATTTTATATGGTCTTCTTAAATATTTAAAAATTAACTACTTTTTTTTCAAAATTGAATTTATTTTTAATAATTACAAAATTTCAGTATAGTTAACTTACTGTTTTCTGTACACCATGATGTTTTTAATGGAGAAAATATCTTCTTTACAAGTATTTCTGAACTAGCTAGTAAGCTCAGAGAAAATTCTGTTGACTACAGGATATTCTCAATTCCTCTTTTCATGCTGAAAACTGTAAATATTTCAAGCTCAAGTATTTTACATTTTCCCTTTTTGATAATTTTGTTGAGATAAATCTTTCAAATTTTAAGATTATACCTCAAGAGGACAATACTTTACTTTTTAAATATTTCATCAAATTTAGATACTAAAAAAAAAAATCAACCTTGACTTCATTTCATTCTAATATAATAATATACAAACAGATCTAATTAAAAACAGGTACTACATCAAAGAATCTTCACAATAGTGCAAATGACACAAGGTTAAAATTAAATCTTTTTGGGACCTTGTGTAAGCTAGGCAAGTGCTTTACAATTGAGCTGTACCCCCCAGTCTCCTCAATTAAATTCTTTCCTTGTGCTCACAGAGCTAAATTTCAGTCTTCCTGTTTGCAAGATTTGTTTCCAAGAACTGCTATGCTAAAAATTTCAAAAACTGAAGGGTTTTACTCTTCTATTTGGTGACATTTTAGCAATTTCCAATGACTTTTTAAACTCTAACCAATACACTCAAGACTCATTTATCAATGAAAACATTTTTTCAGGCAGTATTACACAAAATAATTATTTCTAAAATCCTGTTGACCAACACACAGCAAAGTGTGTACTGTCAGCATTATCACCTCAATTTTGTAGTTCAGTTAACCTGTATATATCGGTATCAGTAAATTCAACTGCTATGGCCTTATTTCAATGGTTGAACAGTAGTGTTTGTTTGCTTGCACCACCACAAATTCTAAAAACACTTCTGCTCCTTAGTTTTCTCAATTTAATAAGAACACCGATTTCACCATGACAACTTCCTTCCAGCAAAAACAAATGATTCTATCTTTAATATGTTTTCAAATTTATAATAGAATTTGCAGCATTTTTTGACAGAATAAACTTTTAAAAGCCTTACTCTGATTCCATTTACAGCACTGATATAACATACACAAGGCTCTAAGCCAAAAGGGTTGAACTTTACTGAAATTAATTTATTCTCTATTTCAAAACCAGCAGTTTGAGCCTTCTCTCAACTAATGGTAGCAACATATTAAAAGCTATTGCTCCATTTTCACACATGAAAAAAAATTTGAAATGAAAAATGAACTTTTAATAAGTTGTTTGATTTAAATGAAGTCATGTTTTAAGAAGAGTTATGTAAACATCTTCCATACTTAAATTGACCTCTTGATGCATAATCTTTTAAAAAATTACTCCTAACTTCTTCTTTTCTTTTTGGAGAAAATGCCTCACATCTTTATTATTCTTTTCTTTATTGTTACTCCTAACTTCTTAAACAGATGTCAATCCCTTTATAATAGATCTGTTGTGTGATCAGTGGCACCCCACCTCTGCAGGTAGATAGTAAATGTCATAAACATTGTGTGCATGTTAGGTACTGAAATTAAAACTCACCACTCTAATTCTTCATTAAATAAACACTTTAGCCTTTAGAAATTCATTGCTGATGAGTTTATAAAATAGAGAAACTACCAAATGATAAAATAGGTTTTAGATTTATACTGTATAATAAATGACAGAACTACTGTAGCAAGAGTGCTTTGACCATTCTCTTTAACGATTTGTAACAGGACTTTTCAGTATTTGCCTCCTGCACATATTTCACCTATAATCAACTTCCCATGTTTTCCTGACTCCATCCATTGGCAGCCTGGTGCTTCATGCATCTCACAGGCCTTGGCACAATTTGCTGGTACATCAAGTTTTGGCAGATGAACACTGTTAATTATCAGAAAGGTCAACACTTACTTAACTGTGCTCCATCCCCACCTTGTCATGCTCTTCATTTTACCTGCATGCTATTTTACAAGGGAGAACTGAGTTATAGTATACACACAGAAAAGGCTGGAAAGATAGTCTTTCAGGCTTAAATGTTTCATCCATTAAAGCGAAATCTCTATTAACTGCACAGGAGTCTTACCCCCAGAAAAAACCACGGAAGAATCTGAGGTTCAAAACAGAGGTCTAATAACTTACTTGGTCTTACTTTAATGAAACCGTTGATAATACTACTTCATTGAAAATTTAAAATTTGGGACATATCCTAAACTAAATAAGACACTGAGGGAACATTCATAAACTGGATTTGTCCAGGGTAATTGTTATAAAGAGAACAAATCATGTTTAAGTAAAAACTCATGGTGTCTTATATCACTACAGGCTCAAACCAGAACCAAGAGAAACATTAACCAGTACAGTTAAGTATTTTTACTCATAAATTATGTATGAAAACCAAATAGAATATACTATACTCTCATAAACACAAATATTTGATGTCTTGCATACTATTTATGAAACTTTGATTTCAGATAATTTTCCTGCTTAGATTTAAGGAACCATCATAGTACCAACTAATGGCTAATGCTATTTACATCAACTATATTCTCTGCAGACAGACTCAGTCACTGTATCAAAGGACAACTGATTTAGGGGGGAATGTTTTCTAGAAATTAGAAATTCATTATTTAAAACAACTTCTCAAGATATAGGTATCACATTTTCACCTAAACACTAAGAAGTAATAAAGTAGTGAGTATTTATTCAAGCAGTAGCTTTTTTCTACTACAACCATGCATAAGTAATAATGAGGACACATTCTGAGAAATTATTGTTAGATGATTTCATTGAGTGTTCTTACTAAGATAACTATGACATCAGGAGACAATGTATCTTATACAACCACTGACATACACATGGTCTGTCATTGACCAAAAGGTTGTTATCCAATGCATGACTAGTTTACAAAAAAGAACAAAACAATAGAGAAAGTCATTTAAAATATAGTTCTAAAATCAGCTTAGAGACATGACTAATTTAACAAATACAAAAAAGTACAC